TGACGCCAACGTCGATGACGAATGATTCCTCCCGACCCAGGCCGCTCATGGTGAGGGTTAAGACCTCCGAGGGTAGGGATGGAAATAATCTCCTGCTCTGGGTGAGAAAGGCCGAGATGGATATGGCCGCCAAAACGAGCAACAGCGCATGGCGCCAACTATCTCCAAGCTCGAGGGCCGCGCACGAGAATGGGCACTTACGTGCGGTTCTTCGGTTGAAGCTGCATTCTCCTCCTGGATAAAGCTGAAACGTCAGCTTTTGAGAGTGTTTTCGCCGCCTAATCAGGCATATCGCGTGCGAATGCGTTTCCTTGCTGCCCGACAGGGCAAGAAGAAATTAGCGGGCTCTGTCCAAGAGTTGAAAACTCTCATTGCCAGGATAAGAGCCGTTTCGCTTTCTGAGGCGGTCGCGGTGACCGTCATTATAGAGGGCCTTCGCACTGGCGGCCAGAATGGATGTCTTTCGTATACATCCGTCTTTTTCTTGAAGAAGCGGTGAACGTGGCATTGAATGCCGAATTCAACTTCAAGTCGGCACCACTTGGTCGAAATGCACACCCACGATGCACGTCGAACGAGCTTGAGCCAATGGATCTCAGCTATGCTGTGAAAGAGGAAGGAGAGCTCAGAGCTGCCAAGCAGCGTGTAATCACCCGACGGTGTTTTTCTGCGGAGACCTTCGGACTGGTTGTCGTTCTTCGAACCGACTTCTCCCTTATAACCAGTCTGATTTTTGCGGAAAAACGAGAAAACCAGTGCGGGACGCCCTACTGGGGAAAACTGAGTTATGTTGTGCCTCAAAGAGGTAGAGGGCAGCAGAGTCCAGCCCCTAACAGCTGTGTGCTCTTGAACACTGACTGTGTATGAAAGCTTCGCTTGCTTGTCGTCAAAGCGACCATGAAGGGATTTGAAATGCCATGTCTACTCCTTTTCGATTCCAAGGCGTCGGGCAATCATGTTCGACGCTCGACGATGGAAGGAAGTCAGCTGTATGCTGAGACGCTTGAAGCGCGGTTAGTAACACCATTACTGTTCGTTTAGCGACAAAGACCTGTTTGACTATGCCGAGGATCCATATGAACCACTGTGTCAAGTTCCTTGACTTTGTAAGTGTGGAACGCTGCTTAGTCTTAGACTTGGACGCGACGTACGACATTATCCTTGATATGGTATTGTTGGAAACCATATACCATGGATTGATTGGAGGTCAGAGACCTTGGGCGCTACGCGCATGTCTCTTGTGGAGCTTTGTCGAATCATGAACCCACCTCTGCTAGCAAGCAGAAGCGCTATTGGCGCGGGCACTGTGCCGGGACGATCAATGTGCTGGATATCTGAGTATCCGAGTTTTCGGACACCAAAGGTGCATCGGACAAGAGTGCCAAAAGTGGTTCGCGGGCTGAAAAACTGAGTGACACGTAGCTCACTGAGCACTGCTCAAGTATCAAAGCAGTTGCTGCATGCCAAGAGTGGCATGGTCGGACGAGGTCCGAGGGATCAAGGGCGAGGCGCTAGTGATGCGCGTGGAGTGGCACGTTATTTACTGAGCATTGCTCGCATTTTGAAGCAGTTGCTGCATGCCAAGAGTTACATGGTCGGACAAAGTCCGAGGCATCCTGAACGATACGCCACTTGCCGTTCGGCTTTCGGACACAAAAGTTGGTGTCGAATGGGAAAACTTGCCTTTCCTGCATCGTGCTTCCTACGGAAAAAGGGGTCAATGACATCACACTGCTCCTTGAGAAGGGGCCATCGGCGTATTACGCAATATTTGGCTCTCGAAACCAGGTTAATCTCATGACACACACCTCGGTTCGGAATCGGAACGGCGGCCGGTCTTTGGATACGACGTCTTGAAATTCCTAAGGACAGTACGAATCCGAGGAATTCGTTAGGATCGACGATCCACTTCGTTCGTTTAGAACCTTCTTAGTGTCCTCCAGGATAACTTTATCCTGAATCGACGACGAATTAATCTCCTCGTTTGGTCTTATAATGACCACTTGGCTTAGTTGCCTGCCTTCAAGGAGCCGCCAGACGGACATCTCGCCCAGCTCAAGACGAGCATCCACCGTGAGAATAGCCTTGAGGTGGCGTTGCCGTCTTCCTCTCCCCTCATACCGTTGACAAAGGTATAAAGCTGTGCGCTATCGTCTACGGTAGACACACCAAGGGTCAGGGTCGACGCCCTGCGTCTTGAAAATAACATACGGCTTCGCCGTCTTCTCTCTATAGAGATTTTACGTCTCATCGAGACCAGCGGCACCTTGCACTCGGTGTCGTCCAGTGACCCCACTCCCTGCTCCATCGAAGCCTTAATGTTTTGAACAACATCCGACGAAGAGCTGCTATGGCCGCAGTCTTCGTCCAGTGGATGACGTGCCACATTCCACGCGCATCAGAGGAGCCTTTTTCACGGATACAATAAGCTCAATGGTGCCGCCATTCCGGCACAGACGCCGGTTCCTAGATAAGATGTTCTCCAAAAAAATTTGCTGGCTATATAAAGTACAGTGTACTCCACTTGGTCGATAGTTATCACCTATCGCTCATGAGAGTTAGTGATATTCCGCTGACAGCGGTGAGTTCTCCGAGCAAGATGCTCTAGGAGTGGCTGGGTGATGCCCAAGGGCTGTCAAGTACGACAGCAAAGTCTAATCGTCTTGTTTCTCAATTATTTAGGCCCCATCGGGCGTATCCAAAAGCATACTTAATGATATCTACGTCCACAGTTGTGCAGAACACGGGAGGACAATTGAAGAAGACACTATCGTCCATTTGAGAGCGGTGCTCAAGTGCATGCGCACGAATAAGTTGCATGCTAATGCAAATAAGTGCATCTTTCGCGTCTAAGAAATCTCCGTTTTAGGGTGCTTCATTGGGAAGCGTGGCCTTCTAGCGGATCATACTAAGGTCAAGGCTATTGTGGACTGGCTGGTTACGCCGAAACAAAAGAACTTGCGCAAATCATGCGGAGAAAGCACGGCGATTGTCGAATTTTCCTTAAGGAGGATGCGAATTGGTGTTGAGACGATGAGCATCGGGAGAGTTTTGACAGGGTCAAAGACAGCCTTCTTCATACACCAATACTGGCTTTGACAGATCCCGATCGCCGTTTTAGTGTCGTTTGTGACGCTTCAGACTTTGTCATCGGCTATGCCCTGCTGCATGCAGCCGCTGAGGGGTGAGATCTGGTGATCGCGTACGAATCTCGCAAGCTTGAGGCTGAGTAGAGGAATTCTCGATTCCACGACTAGGAACTACTTACTATGAAGAGTGCACTTGTCAATTTTAGGTTGCACCTGCTGGCTCAAAGCCGTTCGTGATCCACATAGATCATGCATCATTACGCATTACGACTCAGTCGCTTTCCCACTCGCAGAGGTTCGCAAGGTGGCTCTCATTCTTTGCAGAATATAAATTCGAGGCGAAGTATAAGCTAGGAAAGCTGGATGCTTTGGCTAATTCGTTGTCACGCAAAGACTATGAGCGTGCTCATGTCACGCCGGTGACGTCGTCAGTTCTGGAGTTGATCTGCGCCGCATACGCACTGTGTGTGGCGCTGCTACAGGCGCGTTTGCGCGCACGGGTACACCAATATTCGTTAAATAACGGGTTGCTGTATTATATTACCGACTCAACGGATACGCCATGAATTGTGGTTCCTCAGGATGAGCATTCAAAATATCGTATCCTCTATGAGACCTACAACACCCCACTTAGTAGTCATCTCGGTCGTGAGAAGATGTACAGCTCGGAGAATTGCCACTATTGTTGGCCCAAGATGTACAAGTAGACGAGCACATATGGGCGCACGTGTGAGACGTGTCAAAGGGTAAAACTCTCTCCGAATGCGGCGACGCCGCTGGCCTGTTTATCGATACCCTCCGGGTGTTGGCACTCCATGAGTATGAACATTGTGTTTAGCCTGTCAAGGACTCGGAAGGCAACACGGATATGGTGGTCGTTGTGAACCGTTTGAGCAAGATAGCTTATCTTATGGTAGTGCCGGACACCATCGACGGTGTGGGTACAGCGACGCTGTTTGTGGATCATGACTTTTGACAACATAGACTCCTAAAGGCAATGTCTCTGTTAGGGACCCGCGCTAAAACTTTTTGGTATACAATCTTCAGAGACACGGGCTTCAAGTTGACTACGTCAACAGCGGTCCATCCCCAGACCGATGGTCAGTCTGAGCGCGTCAATCGCGTCGTTGAAGACGTGCTTCGTAGCGTCTGCGCTGAGTTGCCGAAGCGATGGGGCGCCGTGTTGCCACTTGTAGAGTTTGCTCGGAACAAGCAGTGCATTCATCCACCAACTGCACGCCGTTCTACGTGAACGGGCTGGTTCACCCTCGCGTCCCACTGACGCCGCCATCC